AGTAGGACTCACAGGATTCAGCATATAGTTGTATTCAGTGAAAATTTCTCAGTGAAAGGATATGTACATGATGGCATCAACAGGGGGAAAAAGGACACAGGTAGAATCTGGAGAAATCCATGCACATACTCCTTATTCTGTCCATCTCCCTTGAGCAAAGGAAACGGGCACAAGGGACAAAATCTGGAGGAAAGCAGGCACAAGCTTGCAAGAGTCTTCTCCCAGTGGAGTCACACAAGATGCATTTAATTCCTCCAGCAAAGAGTTGTGACAACACATGTGATGTGCTGTCGGTCAGGGAAGCTCATCAGAGACTCAGTGCCCGATGTTTTCACTGGGACCTGGTCATGAGTCACCTATCTAGCATGTACCAAAATTCCAGCCTCTCTGCAGGAATGCAGGTGCTCAGTATAAATTACATTGTTTATACAAACAGGTTAGGCCCAGTGAACCATTCTTATAATTTAGAAAAGGTTTTATTTATATCAATGTAGTGAATTGTTTACCAGCCAAACTTCCAAATGCTAGTCAAGGGCCAACCTTGCAATCAAGCCTCTATAAGGCTAGGCAATCTCAGGCTTACTATGTTAACTCCTTTCTGTACCAAAACCTGCAAGAGAAAGACATTCTCTTATGTAATGACAGTATCATTATCAAAATCAGGAAATTAATACTAATACAATACTGTTATCTCTTTTACACACGTTCAAAGTCTAATTGTCATACCAACATCCTTTATAATAAAATAAAATAACTTTTTCTCTGGCACAGGATTAAATCCAGGATCACATGTGACATTTATTTTCATTTATTTATTTATTTATCTATTTATCTGAAAGATTTTATTTATTTAATTTTAGAGAGGGGAGGGCAGAGAGAAAGAGAGGGATAGAGACATCAATGTGTGGTTGCCTCTCACATGCCCCCTTACTGGGGACCTGGCCTGCAACCCAAACATGTGCCCTAGACTGGGAATCGAACCAACAGCATTTTGGTTCACAGCCCACGCTCAATCCACTGAGCTATGCCAGCCAGAGCACGTGTTGCATTTAGCTGTCATGTTTCTTCAATCTTTTTGAAACTGGATCAGTTCCACACTTTTTCCTTTGTTGTTGTTGACCTTGAAGTTTCCGAAGAGCACAAACCTTTTTATTTTGTAAACTGTCCCTCACCTTGGTTTGTCTGATATTTTCTGATAATTAGATTCCGGTTATGAATTTTTGGCAGAAACACCACAGAAGTGATGTGTCTTTGACAGTATATTACATCAAGAAGCTGGAAATATCAGTTTGTTCCCATATTGTTGATGATAATGCTGTCCACTTGGTTAAGGTAGTGTCCACTGGGCTTTTGTTGGGGACCACTTTGTATGGTATCGGAGGCTGTAGCCCCACCCAAGCAAGGCCTTGAAAGAGGCCTCTGAGTCTTGACTGGAACACAGGGAATTCAGGAGGTAGGCATGACCCAATACTAGCACCGAGGGTTCCTGTGGGAAATCAGGCCTAGGAAATGCATTCTTTTTGCAGCTTGCTTTGCTTTGTATAGTCCTGTTGATATAAACCAGATGTTTAAGTTCAAAGCATAAGGAATGAACTCCTTATCTCATGAAACTTGACCATCTGCCATCAGAATGTCTAACAGACCCTGACCTGAGGTAGATCTTTGTGTTTCTTCAATGGTTATCTACAGATAATACCTGTTTTTGTATGACTGTAGCCTTTTGACATTGGTTGATAAGCTATGCATGCATGCTATATACCCCTATACATACTGATCCCAATAACAGCCATTTTGGAGAAGGGCTTGGGGCATTTTCCTCTAGAGGGAATCACCACCCTCTTCCTTCCAGATGGATTGTGTTTGGGCCAACTCATTTCATCTGTGACCGGGAGAACTCTGAGGGACGGGGTTCCCCTCAGGTTTTTCCAGCATAGTCACACTTGTCCCATTATAACTAAGAGGTGATTTTCCAGGAGACCCTTTGATACTATGTAAATATAGTGTTGTTCATCACACTTTTACCCATTAGTGTTAGCACCCATTGATGATTCTTCCTTGAAATAATTATTATAGCGTGGTTGCTAAACAGTGATTTTCTAATTCCATTGTTCCTTCTATAGTTATTAGTTGGTGTTCTTCTGTAAGAAATCCTTCTTCCTTCCTCCTTTCATCCTCCATTTATTTATTTAGATCAGTTTGGACCTCTAGATTTTTTAAATTTCAAATTCACTCAATGCATGGTAAAACAAGATGCCTCAAGCTCTCATCTTGTACTTTCCCTACCCCAGCCCTGGAATCAGATTTCAACAAGAAGCCCTAGTTTCTGTTAGTGAAAAGTGGTAATTAAACAGGAGAAATCAGTTAGAGGCACATGAATTAGAAAAGAATAAAGATATTTATTTTCAGGTGATATGATTTTGTACCTGGCAAACCCTAGAGAATCAATGATAAAACCAACTCTAATAAGGAAAGTATTCAGAAAAGTGGAAATGTATAAAATTAACATAGAGAAATCAACAGCCTTCCTATATACAAGTAAAAACCAGTTACAGAATATAATAGAGAAATCCCCATTTACAATAGCAACAAAGGAAAGAGTATACTTTGAGAAGAAACCTAACAGAAAATGTGAAAAAAATCTATGTGAGGAAAAAAATTTTAAAGATTTTACTTATTTATTTTTAGAAAGAGGGGAAGGGAGGGAGAAAGAGAGGGAGGGAAATATCAATGTGTGGTTGCCTCTCACACAGCCCCCAGCTGGGCACCTGGCCCACAACCCAGGCTCGTGCCCTGACTCAGAATTGAACTGGTGACCCTTTGGTTTGCAGGCTGGCACTCCATCCACTGAGCCATACCAGCCAGGGCTATGTGAGGAAAATTTTTAAAAAGATCTCATTTATCTATCCTTAGAGAGAAGGAAGGCAGAGAGAAAGAAAGAGACAGAAAACCGATGTGCATGAGAAACATAGATATGCTGCCTTCCACACCCACCTAACTGGGACTGGCCCCGCAATCCAGGCAACCACCCCTCTGTTTATGGGACAACCCTAGCCCACTGAATGAATCACACAAGCCAGGGCTGGAGCATTTTGTAGTGACAGAGAAAAAATTATAGGAACATGTCAAAGGGACACAAAACTCAGCTTCAAAGAGCTCCCACTGGCCAAATCTGGGACAATTTGAGCATCAAAGGAGATTATATTGATTGATTATAATTTGCTGAATAAAATAAGAATATGAGTGTACAGATATAAATACATAAGTGATGGAGAAGAGAAAACTTCCTTACAGTAGAATAGCAGCTAATAAAGATCAAAGGAATATTGGTGTTAGGAAATAATTAACAGATGCTGAAGTCAGTGTTTCAAAATTTTTATGTGTATGGAGAGAATGGTACAGCAAAGTTGGCAAAATGTAAACAATGGGCGAATCTGGGTAAAGGGTACATAGAATTTCCTTGTATCGTTCTTGCTTTTCTGTACGTTGAAAATTATATCAAAATTAAGTCTCCCCCACAAAAAAAGAAAATAAGAAGTGTTCTAGTACTGATATGTTGTCACTAACCATGCTAATTAAAATTTCTTTTTTTTTAAGAGAGGGGAAAGGAGGGAGAGAAACATCAATGTATGGTTGCCTCTCATGCGCCCCCTACTGGGGACCTGGCCCTGCAACCCAGGCATGTGCCCCGACTAGAAATCAAACCCGCGACCCTTTGGTTCGCAGGCGGGCACTCAATCCAATGAGCCACACCCGCCATGGCTAATTGTTTTATTTCCCAAATGAAAACTACTGTTTGGTTAGCAGGGGTTTGCAGAGAGAGGCCAAAAAGTACAAGAGGCTAACGATGCACTTTAAAACTTAAATTGTAATGTTCCTGGTGTTTTGCCACCCTGGTTTTGTTTTGTAGTCCATGAAATATCTATTTTATAATAGTTTTATATAGCACAAATTGAGATGTTTGTAAAAGATTTTATTTATTTATTTTTAGAGAGGGGAAGGGAGGGAGAAACATCAGTGTGTGGTTGCCTCTAGCGCGCCCCCTACTGGGAAACTGGTCTGCAACTCAGGCCTGTGCCCCGACTAGAAATCAAACAAGCAACCCTTTGATTCCCAGGCAGGTGCTCAATCCACTAAGGCACACCAGCCAGGGCGAAATGCTTTTTTTTCCCCCTAAGATTTTTCACTTGATTTACTGTCACTATTTTTCTCAGGTATTTTATTTTAAGTACTCACCCAATATTTTTATTGATTTTTGAGAGGGAGGGAGGGAGAGAGAAACTTCAATCCCTTGCCTTCCGAATGTGCCCCGATCAGGGATGGACCCCTCAACCTGTTGATGTATAGGACCACGCTCCAACCAAATGAGCCACCCGGCCAGGGCTCCTCGCAGGTATTTAAATTTATTGGGGGCGAGGTCCTTTACCTAACATGATGTACGTCACCATATTAGGAAAATCAACATCAAATCTTAAAAAAGGAGAGAAAGAAGGAGAAGGGAAAAGAAAAAAGAGAAGAGAAGAGAAGAGAAGAGAAGAGAAGAGAAGAGAAGAGAAGAGAAGAGAAGAGAAGAGAAGGCCAAAGGCTTCAAAGGAGGCGGGATTCCCATTTGGAATTACACAGGGGAGGCAAGAACAAGACCTACGCAGAACTTCCGCTTTCATTTCTATGGTTATTAAGTCAACCATTCTCTTTAAAGGAGAACGGTGGAAGGATGATTTTCTGTCGGCAAACACTTCCTTCCCGATGAGTCCACCTCCGATACAGGGATGCTATCGTGTCATATCACAGTGGATATTCTATGAGAGCTCAAGTGTCAGACCAAATGACCTATATTCTGGTAAAATATTAAATTTAAATTCATCTGACTTGTCAATTTCATTATTTTCTCTCTGTCTCCGAAACGTTGAACTTCCGGAATAGATTCCTCCCCCTGTACTCCTGGCCAGTGGTTTGGTCCGACCCTCACAATGACAGCAGAACCCGCTGCGTCTGCGCAGAAAACTGTCGGGGGGTGGGGGGGAGGAACATGGCGCAAGCTCTGTCTCAGGAGGAGTTTCAGCGGATGCAGGTGCAGCTCCTCGGGGAAAAGACCACCGGGATGGACTATTAGGGGCGGGATAGAGAGATCATGCCACCGGCACTGAGACGGGGTTGGTTGGAATGGACCTTGAGTCTAAGGGGTTGATCCGGAGAAGGGAAACTGAGGTTCTGAGTGGTGAGACTATTGAATTGCGAGATACTATTGAGCTCTAAGGGGCTGAGTTTTATGAGTCTTGTGGACAGAAGAGAGACTCCTAGAGTGAGGGATAACTTATTCAGACCTGAAGGGTATGAGACTTGGGCTTGTGCCGGCGACACCATAGGTGGATGATGATAACATTAGACTTTGAGGGAAGGAGATCCAGAGAGGGAGAAACCATTTTGTTTGCAGAGGAAGGAAGTGGGCGTTGCGTCATTTACGTCATGGGGGGGGGCTTGAGAGGGCAATACCATAACCTGGTGGGAGGTGGAAATTTTTGTGGGAGATACCATTGCGCCAGGGAATGGGGCAAGTCCCCACACGTTGTCATTGTTCCTGGGAGTGGGAGATCCTGTGGGAGTGGTGGCAGTGAATCCCAAGAGGGGACAGTACCATTGGATGGTTAGGGGTGATTAAGCCTGGGGAAAGGAGTCCCTGAATAAGAGAGGACCAGAGGAATGATACCTTGGACCTCCTGGAGTGGAAACCACTGGGCTTTGGGGGAGTACCCTAACTGGGTGCTCCGACCATTTGATTTTCTTTTTGAGGGGGCACTCTGAGGTGGGATGAAAGGCCAGAAGTGGGCCTTTGTTGGGAGAATTCCTTACTGGGAAAGACCATTGGATTTTGTGTATGGGGAGACTCTGAATAGGGGAAAACCCTGAGTAGGGCCCTGTTGGAAGAGAGAAGAAACTCTGAATGAGGACAGGTAATGCACTGGTCTTTGAATGAGGGAAACCAGTTGTCTGTGTGTGAGGGACCCTGAGGGTGGAAGGTTGAGATCATTGTATCATGAAAGGGGAAGACTCCTGTAACTTGTGCAGGGGGTTCTGAGTGAGTAAGTAATCTAACTGGCCCACCCAAAGCCTTATGGAAGAAAGACTGTTACACAAGGAAGAAAGACAAGGAAGAAGGATGTAGGGTCATCCCATTGGATCATGACTGGGGAGATCTTGAGGGGGGTGGAGACCTCTGAGTGAGGAAGATTGATTTCATTGGGCCATGAGTGGGGGAAAACATTAGACTTTGATGGATAGGAACTCTAGGTGGGTGCCAGGGGTGTACAGTTGAATTAGGACTGTGGGAGACAGACCAATGGGTCCAGGAGAGGAAAGAATCTGTAGAGACCAAGCCCTCCGACCTTTAGCACAGCACCAGTGGGATGGTGGCTGGTGCCATGGGAGGCAAAGGTCCTGGTGGTGTAAGGGACAGTGGTTCTGGGAAGAACTGGCATCAGTGCTCTACAGGGCTGGTAGGTAGGTGTATGCTGTTTGACAAGGTCCATACTTCACCTTCCCTCAATTAGTGAAAAGGAACTGGACATATTTTGAAGCCTTGGGGGTGGGGACCCTAGGCAGCCCCCTATTACTCAGTGAAATCAGTCAGGAGACTACCAGGCCCTCTTCCACTGAGAAAGAAGAATGAAGGCAAGCTGCTACACCCTTCTCTGGCCAAGAGGATAGATAACACTCACCCCTGACAAAAAGATAGAATAGTGTTTAATGTGTGACAAGGTCAGCCAGGATGAGGAGGAGTAACCTTTTTTTAGAGAGAAAGAAAGGGAGGGAGAAAGGGAGAGAAACATCAATGTGATAAAGAAACATTGATCCGTTACCTCTCATACATACCCTCACTGGGAACCAAACCCACAACTTAGGCATATGCCCTAACCAGGAATCGAACCAGTGACCTTTCACTTTGCTGGACAGTGGCCAACCAACTGAGCCACTCCAGTCAGAGAAGGAGGAGGAACTTTATACTGTGGGCATGGAGAGCCATAGAACACATAAAGTAAGAGCCCGACTAGGTCAGTGCATTGTGGATTAGAAGAGGAGCAATGGGGGCAGTAAGGAGATGGAGAGGTTTGGCTGGCTGTGATTATAAGTAGCACTGCAGAAGGTGGGGTTGGGACTGAGAGTCTGGAAGCTCATTCAGGATGCACTATGTACAGATCTTAAGGAGTGACTAAAGAGGCACATGGGAGGCAGCAAGGTCTGTGGGGCTCAGGGGATTGGTAACTTCATGGTAAGGATAAGGGCACATTCCTAACCACATTGTTTTCTTTCCCTGTTTCCCCCAAAGGCTCAGCTTCTGGAACTACGGACAAACAACTACCAGCTTTCAGATGAATTACGAAAGAATGGTGTTGGTGAGCCAAGGGGTCTCATTAGATGGAGGTGGCTTTAGGGGGCAGGGGCCTGGTGGGAACACCATTCACCTCCTAAGCCACCCACTGAGGCTGAGACTATATGCTTTCCCCACACCAGAACTCACCAGTCTTCGACAGAAGGTCGCTTACCTGGATAAAGAGTTCAACAAAGCTCAGAAGGTAGTTCCCTCCACTACTCACTCGCCCATGCTTCCCTGTAGTCATTTGAGTCGTTCATTGGTCCAGTGAGTACCTACTGTGAACCAGACCTAATGTTACATTCTGTCATTCAAGAAATTCTCATGGAAGTCTCTTTAGTTTCCTAATTTTATCTAATTCTGCTTAATTTATCAATTAATTTTAATTTACTCAATTCATTTTTAGTTTCAATAACTTATTCTTGTTCATTAACATCTAACTAAAGAATCAGATCTACTGGTAAATTTGCCTTGAATCTGTCTCCTCTTCACTCACTCTCCTGCCTTGTGTTCCTATTTCTTATCCCTGTTCTGGTCCTGTTGGTAAAGTGAGACTGAACCTACCTCTCCAGTCCTCTGAAGATGAGATAGAAGCTATTGTGGCCCCTCAAGACATTCAAGGCCTTCCTTTGTCTCTTTTTTTACTCCTCTGTCCCCATGCATAGCACAATTTTATATATAATGTATGCTCCGTAAATATTTGTTAGATGAAGGAATACAGAATGCAGAAAGTCTGGCAGTCGGGAAACTGGACTTCTCTTTGGTAAGGTGATGATTTTCCCACCTGACAGTGCCCTCAGCTGCTCAGCAGAGGAACAGTAGTTTCCCTGATGTATGGCAGAGAGCCACATAGATGTGTTTGGACAGATATAGCAATACAACCAAGTGCCTGAGCCTGGGTTAAATACTAAGACCCATGAATAGCCTCAAGAGCTTACAGGAAAGGATGTAAGCAAGATGCCACTCACTCATTACACCATTACTGTAGGCTACAAATTGTCATGCAAGTTTTGTGGTTAAAGATGCTCCCATCCCCCATCCCCTGTTATCATTCTCCCCTCTTGACACTTGTTCCTCTCTGTTCACCTTCTCTCTCTCTCTCCCCCCTCACATTTAGGCACTGAGCAAGAGCAAGAAAGCTCAGGTAAGGGGACCCGTGGTGGGTAAATGTGTCTGGGAGATTGTCTTAGTGGGGATATTTCTGTACTCTGGGATCTCCTAGTACTGGCTTTTCCCTGTGTGTGCACTTGCAACTGTGACTCTCTACTCACTGCCATGTTTCTGTGTCTGTCTGTGTTTTACTGTGTTCATTTATCTCTCACTCTGTGCCTCTGTGTCTTTCCTTCTCCCTTTCTCTTTATCCTTCTAACTCCCTGTCTCTGTCTTCCTGTGCTCTCTGACTCTTGTTTCTCTCCCCAACCTTCTCTTTGTCTCTCCCCAACCTGTATTTATCTCTGCTATCATTTCATTTTTTTATCTCCTTCTGACTCCACGTTTCTCTCTCCCTTTTTCCTCTGTCTCTTCCTCACTCATTTCTTTCCCTGACCTCCTCTCTCCTGTCTCTGTTCTTTCTCCATGTGTTGGTCTCTCTGATCCAATCTCTCTGTCTTCCTACGTTTCCTTTTTTCCTCTCTTTCTCTTCATCCTTTTCTTCTTCCCTATCTATCCCTTTCCCCCATTTCTCTCTGCCTCCCATCTTCTCTATTTTTATCTACCCCTCTCTTTCCTCGCACTCTTTCCCCCTCATGTCCCTCACTCCCTCCACATCTTACCTTCTCTGTACCCCCTCATGTCTGTCTCTCTCCCTCCCTGTCATCTCTTATCCCTCCTGGCATCTCTCTCCTTGTATCTCCTGATTTTACTTGTCTCATTCTCTCTACTCTGTTTTTTCCCCACCCATGTAATTTTCTCCCTCTCTCTGTTCCTTTGCCCTATCTCACATCCTTTCTGCCCCTGTTGGAGACCTGGCCCATGTCTTCCACTGCAGGAAGTCGAGGGGCTGCTGAGTGAAAATGAGATGCTGCAGGCAAAGCTGCACAGCCAGGAGGAGGACTTCCGATTGCAGAACAGCACTCTTATGGCTGAGTTCAGCAAGGTGCTGGTGCCTGGGATAGCCAAGGGGCATTTTAGGGGTAGAGGGTCACCAGGGCTGAAGCTGGAGGGCAGCTGAGGGTGGTTGAACAGAGGCTGGCCCTGGATCACTGTCCATGGTGCTGAAAAGGGTCCTGGATGTCTGCTGGGGGGCAGTGGTTTGATAGATGGGGCTACCCTACTGTGCTGGGATTAGAAGGCTCCAAACCCTGAGGTCCTCTGGTTCCTGACCAAGTCATTCATTTTCTCTGAGCTTTAATTTCCTTGTGTATATTCCGGGGCTAATGTTATGGAACCCCAGGATATCGGTGGGTTTTAGGTAAAGTTCTTATGTTTAACATGGGATGGACAAATGCTCAAGCTGCTTCCCTTTTCTCTTTCTTCCTGACATGATCTTGGGGTTCTAGTTCTACATAATTTATCCTGGGTTGGATAATTCTCTCTCCTCACTGCTTTTGGTATCCTGGCTATATCTGAATCTACTGGGCAGTTGAAGACATTGTCTTTTGTTCCCGGCCTCTATTCTGTATTCATGCTCAATGATTTCCTAAGTTTTTAATATGTCTTAAGAAAGAAAGTCTCGTGACAATAAAATGGCGTTTCCAAGTCTCCACATGGAAATGTAGCGCTTAAGACCTTAAAAAACAAAACAAGCCCTGGCTGGTGTAGCTCAGTGGATTGAGTGTGAGCTTTGAACTGGAGGGTCACAGTTCGATTCCCGGTCAGGGCACATGCCTGGGTTGCAGGCCTGGTCCCCAGTGGGGGCCATGTGGGAGGCAGCCATGCATTGATGTTCCTCTCCCTCTCTTTCTTCTTCCTTTCCCCTCTGTCTAAAAAAAATTAAAAAACAAAAAACGCAACAACCTTTAAGCAGGTACAATACCAGGAGAGGTTATTTAGCAAGTAGTAGTTAAGAGCCAGGAGGACTAGATTAAACTCTTGGCTCTTTTACTAAGTACAACCTTGAGCATGTCACTTGACCTGCCTGTTTCTTGGTTCCCAAGATGTTTAAAATGGAAATGATGATAATGACAATACCTACCTTGCGGGGCTTTTGTGAAGATTGAATGGGTAAATGTCTGTGAGCTACTAAGAACACAGTCTTGCACATAGTATCACCTATGTAGATGTTAGCTTCTACTAGTATCCTTTTATTATTTTCCCTTGAAAGTATTTATTGACTTTGTGTAAAGCTTTAAAAGTTTTGTATCCTGTGACCCTGTCCTGCCTCAGCCCTTTCCACCTCTCACCTGCTCTATTCCTACAGCTACCTCACTGGTCTCCTCATTTTAGCTGCTTCTACTAGACCAAGCCCTAAAGGGTGTCCTGACCAGCAGCTCTTACCACATCACTCCTTTAAACCTCCTTTAAACAATACCTCCTAGTGGGTCCTTGCCCTCTATAGTTCAGAGTCCCTGATGCCCACATGCAGCCGACATTATCACCTCACTTCTCACTGCTTCCTGTCTTTAGCCTCAGTGGTATCATGGTTCTTACAGGGTGAGGCAGGGGCAGGTGTTCTCCCATAAATCTAGTTCATGTTCCCCAGCACCTTCCCTGGGCTAGGCCCTGGTCCAAGTACAGAACCTCCTTTACACTTTCCTCCTCTTCCCTCTGGGAACTGGAAGTACTCACAGAGAGACCTAAGTTCAAGGCTTGCCTCCCTTCACCACTTATTTGCTGAGATATTTCAGCTCACTTTTTCCTTCAACAAGTAGTTATTGAGCACCTGCTTTGTGCTCTGTGTTACAGAAATAATTGGGAGAGGTACAAAATAGTCCCCACTGTTGGAGAGCTTACATTCCGGGGATAGGATGGCCAGAAAGATGGTAACGTAGTAAACAAATAATAGTAGTACTGATAGGTGAACGTTTATATAGTGTTAACTGTGTGCCAGGTCCTGTTTGATGCACTTTACATTATACAGTTATTTAATTCTTACAGCAAGCTGATGAAATATTACTAGTATTCCTGTTTAACAGATAAGGAAAACTGAACCCCTGAGAGATAAAGTAGTCTGTCCCAAGGTCACACAGCTAATAAATGGCAAAGTAGAAATTCACATCCAGGCAGTCTGATTTCAGATTCTGTGCTTAAGACCCCTATGTTACAAAGTAAAACGTAATTGGCCATCAGAACTTACAATCCAGAATTTCTTAGAGCTTTAAGAAGTCAAAATACATATTAATTAAATTTAATTGCGATTAGTGCTGGGTAAGAAATAAATGAACGGGGGTGGGCTGGGATGGGAGTAAAAGACAGAAAACTCTACTTGAACAATAATTAAATTTTTAAAAAGAACTGAAAAAAAAGAAATAAATGAACAGAGTACTGTGCTAGAGAGTATTGGAATTTCTGTGTTGGGGAATACTACTTGAAAGGTGACATTTGAGCAGAGTGCTGAAGGATACAGCCAGTCATGTGAAGAACTGAATTAAAGCAGTGATGTTCTGGGTAGAACATATCCCAGGCAATAAAATAAAAATTCTCTGTGAGTCTTAGTAATCTCATCTGAAAATGGAACACAGGATCTTGTCAGGTCTGCCGTGAGAACTGTATTTTAGTCAGGAGTTGATAACGGGGTGAGCTTAGTTTTACTTGCATTGTACACCTCTCCACAGCCAAGGGCTGATGATATGGGCCTGTGGGCAGTACTGGCCCTGGAAATGCCCTAAAAGCTGTCTGTGGTGCCTAGGCTCCCAGACACAAAGCCCTCCACAGAAGAGGGATGGAGGTGGGGCTCTCCGTGATGCTGACATCTTGGACCAGCAACTTCCAGTGGAGCCTGAGGTCTTGGATTGCAACTGTGAGGTTGGAGTGGGCAAGCAGAAAATTGTTCTCAGTATGCTCAAACTTCTGTGATTGCCACTTAACAGATGTGTGAATTTGAAGTCATTTAACATCTGTGCCTCATCGTTCTTATCTGCGAAGTGGGGATACAATGAGGATGAGGGCATCTACGCATTACAGGAGTGTTACGGGAATTAAATGAATTGTAAAGTGCATGGGCCAAGTGCTTTATACATTTCAGCAAGTACTGCTGTGATTCTCTGCCATTCTGCTACCTTGCTCTTCCCCTGCTCAGCTCTGCAGCCAGATGGAACAGCTGGAACTGGAGAACCAGCAACTGAAGGATGGGGCTTCCAGAGCAGGGGCTGCCCAAGCCGGGAGTGTTGTGGATGGAGAGCTGCTGAGACTACAGGCGGAAAACACAGCCTTGCAGAAGAATGTGGCAGGTATGTGGAGGCCCTCCTGGGAATGTGTGGGGCCTTGGGGCTTGAGCAGGGTGTTTTCCTTCTGGGGAAAGGTTGGAAAGGCTCCAGAATCTACCTTGGTCCTGCCATGAACCCTAGTGTATGACTTTGGACAAGCCATTTCTCCTCTCTGGGACTAAGCTTCCTCAGTTACAAAGTGCATATAGTGATGCCCACCACCTGGAAGACTAGTAGAGCTAAGAGGTGGTATCTTTGTGAGTTTAGTTCATTCCTTGGTACCTAGCAGATTTTACAGATTAGATTGAACATCAGAAAGATGTTTCCTAAGTGGAGAAGGGGAATGAAGGAGTGTTGGAAAGATTCTGAGCCTAGATTGTCAGTGGGGTCTGAAATGAAAGCTGAGGGGAAACTTGATAGAACGTGGGAAGATCCTGATGTGTGGACTCTGGAGAACAGCTGGAGCTTGTGAGGTAGTGGGTAGTAGTTCGGTGATAAGGAGGGAGACCATAGAATGTGGCTGGGGAATAGGAGGTTATAGGAAGAATTCAACTGTAAGTGGGCAGTGGGGAATGATGGGCATGAACTTGGAGGGCTGGGCTGTTGGCAGAGCTTGGGAAACCAGTTTGGTCTAATTTGATGGTAGATAGGATTTCAGTGGTTGGTGGAGCTCGAAAGATTTGTGATTTGTGTGGATGGGGCTAAACCTTTGCTTTGTAGGCCTGTGGTCATTTGTGGCGGGGTCTCTGCTGAGGAGTTGAAGATCAATTCTCTATTTTACACATAGCAAGGGTCTTCAGAGATCACCTTATCCATCACGTATCTCTGTTCTACCCGCTAGCACTGCAGGAACGCTATGAAAAAGAAGCCAGGAAGTCTCCAACTGCCAGTGAAGGCCATGGGGACCACCTGGAGGAGGGCCAAGCCCTCACTACCTTATCCCCCATGCCATTGGCAGAGGTGGAGCTGAAGTGGGAAATGGAGAAGGAGGAAAAGAAATTGCTCTGGGAGCAACTACAAGGCTTGGAGGTGAATCTGGGTTTCTTGAAGCTGGGGTGCTAGGTAGCAGGCAGATGCCCTACCTCTGCCTTTGATCCCATGGAGATGTTTGTGACGTCACCATCTTGTGGGCTGGTAGATTAGGGAAGCAGGAGACAGAAGGCACAGGCCTTACCTCTCTCCTTGCTCATAATTACCCCCTCCCTTTTCCTTCCCTGCAGAGCTTGAAGCAAGCTGAAACATCCAGGCTACAGGAAGAACTTGCTAAGGTGGGACTGCCAAGCTTTTACTGGCCTTTGCCTTACCATCTGCTATACCTACCCTCGAAAGGCCAGAGCTGGCCGAGCGCCCTCTCATAGCTTCAGTTTTGTCATCTGTGAAATGGAGAGACTGACACTTGTGTGTCAGAGTTGCTTTCCTTTTTTAAAAAAATTGTTTTAATTTATCGATTTTAGAAAGAGGAGGGGAGACAGAGAGGGAGGCATTGATTTGTTCCAATTAACTATGCATTCATTGGTTGATTCTTGTGTGTGTCGTGATTGGGAATCAAATGTGCAACTTTGGTGTATGGCGAAGATACTCTAACCTACTGAGCTACCCTGTCAGGGCTCAGAGTTGCTTTCATTATGGAATCGACTAATGCGGTTTCACTATGTCTTGTACCTGGTAGGCCCCATGCCTTTCTTCTTTGTCCTCCAAGCTCTACTTGTTATTCATTCATCTATCCATCCATCCAAGAATTTATAGACTGAAGGCTCATATCTTAGGAACTGGAACCCAGTGTTGTGGATGGCAGTTGTCATCCTGCTTTCCAGGCCTCCCAGCCTTGCCATTCTATTATGTAGCCATTGGTTGATATGTTGGGGACATAAGTGCTGGGCTTTGGAGTCTGAGGGAGCTGGGTGGAGATCATATTGTTGCTGCTGATCAGCTGGGCAGCCAAAGACCCTTTTGAAACTCAGTTTCCTCATTTGTAACACCAGTAATACTTCTCAGGACTATTTTGAGGATTCCACAAAATCACATAAGTAAATTCAGTTTTCATAAAAGACTTAGTAAGAGTGTCTATAAATATTAAGTTTATTTTTGTGTTTATTAATATTATGATCATTTATCATTTGTTTGTACCCCCCAGCTCTCTGAGAAACTGAAAAAGAAACAAGAAAGGTAAATTTCTTTTTTCCAGAAGTGGAGGAAGGGATCTGGTGGGACTAGGGAGAGGATTTACTTATGGAATGGACTCATTTGTGTCTGTCTTTCTATGGGCAGTTTTTGCCGTCTGCAGACAGAAAAGGAGACACTATTCAATGACAGCCGGTAACTACCAGGGTTGGGAGTATTGGTGGACTCCAGTGACAGTGCCCAACAGAATTAACTGAAAGCCTCAGGAGCAGAGCTGGGAGATTAGGCCTTACACCATGGTCAATGTGCCCCCGCTGCCCCACATCACCCTTAGGAACAAGATTGAGGAGTTACAACAGCGGAAGGAAGCTGATCTCAAAGCTCAGTTGGCTAGAACTCAGAAGCTGCAGCAGGAACTCGAGGCTGCCAATCAGGTGAGAGGCTGAATTCTGAGATCTTGGGATAGGGACCAGGGCTGGGAGTCCAAATCACTCTGAGGAGTATGGAGACCAGTCTTAGATTTTTTTGTGTTGGAAACACAGTGACTGGATGGGTCTTAGGGCTCCAAAGAGCTAGGAAAATGGGAACTGGGGAGCCCCAAAAGCCCTTGGAGTTGGGCTAGGAATCTACATGAATCAGAGATCCCAAGGGACTGAGGACTTGGGGGCTGCATGCCACAAGTTTGGGTGAATCTGCAGCTCTGGGGGATTATAGGCAGGAGTCTGGAAAAATCTGTGAGGACTAGAAGCTGAGACCAGGAATGGGAGTGAGTCTAAAATTCCCTGGAGGTTGGGTGACTTTTGAAAAATTTTATTTATTTTTTAGAGAGAGGGGAAGGGAGGGAGAAAGAAAGGGAGAGAAACATCAGTGTGCAAGAGGAACATTGATCGGTTGCCTCTCGAATGCCTCCAACCAGGGTGCTCAACCCACTGAGCCACACCAGCCAGGGTGGCTGGGTGACATTGAGACGTATGGGGCCTGGGTAGATGCAAGACTTCCACGGATGAGACAGTTGGGCCTGGAGCCTGAGTGCACTTGAGACCCTCAGGGTATTGGTCTGAGTTACCTAGGAAGCTGGATCACATGTGATGGGTGGTTCACATGTCATGAGACCCCTGGGGCCTATGAATACAAAACTGGTGAGTGCAGGATGTCCAGAGATTGGAGCAAAAGTCTAATTGGGTCTGAGACTCCTGAGGGTTGGGGATTGGGTGAGTTTAGAGCCTCCAGGCTTCCCCCTAAAGTAGGTGAGTAGTCTGAAGTCCTGTGGATTGTGGAATATGGTGGCTTGCAGGTCTAAGGATCCTAGGAGCTACAGAAAGAAGTTTGGGTAAAGCTGGATCTTCATTTAGCCAGGTCTGAAGATCTCCAGAGACTGGGGACAGGAATGGAAGATGGTGGAGGGGTTGTTAATCTTGAGACCTCATCTTAAGCTGGAAATTAGGAGACTATGAGTTAGAGACCTCTAGAGTCTGGGCTATGAGTTTGGATGGGTCTGAGACTCTTGGCAGCTAGGAATATGGGGGGCTGAGTTTGTGTGAAACCCCTTGAGGTTGGGGTCTGGAGTCTGGGTGAAGCTGGAGTCCCTGGGAACTAACTGTGCCTGAGAACCTAGGGCTTCTAAACTGGAATCTGGGTGAACGTGAGGTCTAGAGGCTCAGTGAACGCGAGGTCTACTGTGGGTGGGGGCTAAGTGAGTCTGAAATCACCAGGAACATGGTGTTTTCTGAGATTCTTGGGACTGGGATATAGGGGTGCTTGAGGCCCCTGGGGGTATGACTAGAGTCTGGGTAAACCCAAGATCTCTGCTGGCTGGGTATCTCAAGACCCCCAAGTGCTAGGCACATGCTGTCAGGTAGTTAAAGATGGAGTCTGTATAGTTCTGTGTACCCTAGGGGAAGCTGAGATCTCAAATAACTTCCCCTGACCTGGTCCCCACAGAGCTTGGCAGAAATGAGAGATCAGCGGCAGGGGGAGCGCCTGGAACATGCAGCAGCTCTGCGAGCCCTCCAAGATCAGGTACGTCATACTGGTGGGCTCGGGAATATGGGCGTCGAGGGTGGGGGCAGTTCCAGTGGGTATCGAACAGGCAGGCCAGGCCCCAGGGGTCCTGCTTTCCCTTGTTGTGGTGTCTGTGTATGAGCGTGTGTCCTCTCTTGGCTGTCCCCGTCCTGGACCCACTCTCACCTATTGTGGGGGTGGAGCCAGGTGTCCATCCAGAGTGCGGATGCTCAGGAACAAGTAGAAGGACTTTTGGCTGAGAACAATGCCTTGAGGACTAGCCTGGCTGCCCTGGAGCAGGTACAGGACACTTTGGGAGCCCTCTGTTATCCTTCCCCAGTTCCCCCTTCTCCCTCTGCTTCTGATCCATATTGAGGCAGTGTATTCCTGACCTCATGCTGTTCTCCCACCCCTGTTTCTGTTTTATTCTCAGCTGCTTTCTATTGGCTTCCATTCTGCTTCTCTTATGTCCCTACTTCTCTTGCATTCATCCCTGCTTCTCCTATAAAGTGCAAGAAGTAGACTAGTCTTAAGTGTACACTCAGTGAAGCATGTTTGTCTATCTTATCTGTTTGTCTGTCTGTCTGTCTGTCTCTCTCTCCGTGTAGCCACCACCCAGCTCAAGACAGAGCATTTTTTGCACCCCAGAGGTCCCTTCTACCCCTTCTTAATTTATACTTCCCCCAAAATAACCACCCCTCTGACCTCTAGCAACATAAATTAGTTTTATTTGTCCTTTACCTTCATGCAAATGGAATCTGGCTTCCTTTTTGTGTCTGGCTTCCTTCCTATAGCACTATCTATATCTATGATGTTAATTTATATGTAGCACTGGTTTGTTCTTTTATCTCTGTGTAGTACCCCTTAGGTGAATATACCACACTTATCCATTCCCTTGTTGATCTTTCTCTCAGTGTTCTTCTCTTTGAAATTCTTCCTCTCTCTTCCTGGCTCTCTCTCTCTTTCTACCTGTCTCCCTGGAACTGGGAGGCTCACACCTTGTGACTGGCCCCCAGCGGCCTCTTTCACTCCACTACTTTCTCTAGATCCAAACAGCCAAGACCCAAGAGCTAAATATGCTCCGGGAACAGACTGCTGAGCTGACAGCTGAGTTGCAGCAGCGGCAGACTGAGTATGAAGACCTCATGGGACAGAAAGATGACCTCAACTCCCAGCTTCAGGTGACACTTATGGTTGTGACCTGTCTTCTAGTTCCTAGTGCTGGCGCAGTGGAGTTTGTGATGAGGTGCAGTGGGAACACTGTGCAGTCAGGAAGACCTGGTGTCCAGTGTAGCTCCCTAATGTATTAGCTATGTGTGTGTCCTAGATCAAGTTCTTTCATTTCTAAGACTAAGAATCTTCAATTAGATAGGAGAGCCATTCTGAGTCCATAATAGACAGTAGAATACTAATAGTAGTTTCTACTGAATAAAAGCTTAGTTCTCTCTCATGTAAGAGTGGAGCTAGGTTGCCCAGGTATGGGATGCTGGTTTCTGATCCATCGACAGAGACCCAGGTTCTTTCTACATTGCTGTTCTGTCACCTTTGACATAAGACTATCTTGGCATCCAAGATGCTTGCTCAAGCTCCCCTACCATCATGTTTTTATTTCATCTGAAAGGAAGGAGAAAAGGCCCAGCATGCCCTTTTCCTTTACAGTGTACACAATACTCACCACTTTTAATTCCATGGATACACTTAACTGTGAGGGAGGCAGGGAACCATCAGCTGGACCGCTGTGTGCCTAACCACGAAGTCTATTGCTAGAGAATGAAGGGAGAATGGATACTGAAGAGCAGCTAGCAGTCTCTGCCATGGTTCTCATGTCGAAATGGAGAGGACAGTACCCACTTTATGGGGTTTAGGGAGGTGGTCTACCAGAAGTGTCATGGGTGACCAGCATCTCTTGGGTGCTCTTTTTCAAACTCACCTCCTTTGTCCCCGCATTAGGAGTCATTACGAGCCAATAGTCGGCTGCTGGAACAACTTCAAGAAATCGGGCAGGAGAAGGAACAACTGACCCAGGAACTACAGGAGGCTCGGAAGGTGGGCAGCTCTGGGAAGGTTGCAAGGCCTGGTTCACACAAATAGGGCAGGTCATGTGGCCCAACCCACAGGAAAGGGAAAGGACACAAAGTGACCAGTTCCATGAGGATGGGTGACTGACAATCAGTTCTGTGGGGATAGAGATAAGGTGGAATTTGGCTCATTCCTCGGACCTGGGGAGAGGGTTGTAGGCCTTCTTTGGCGTTCAGGGAGAACTTTGACAGACATCCTCCTGCTCCACCTTCCTGGCCCCCAGAGTGCTGAGAAGAGGAAGGCCATGCTGGATGAGCTGGCAATGGAGACGTTGCAGGAGAAGTCCCAGCACAAGGAGGAGCTGGGAGCTATCCGGCTTCGGCATGAAAAGGAGGTGCTGGGGGTGCGTGCCCGCTATGAGCGGGAACTCCGTGAGCTGCATGAAGACAAGAAGCGACAGGAGGAGGAGCTCCGTGCCCAGATCCGTGAGGAGAAGGTGGGTGGGTAGATCATGATGCACTTCGACCTCTAAAACAGGAGCACAGCACTGCTAATGGGCTAGGGCATGGCGTGGGTGAGGTGCCTCCTCCACCTGTCTGGCCCATGACAGTCTGTCCTCTTCCAGGCTCGAACGCGGGAACTGGAGAATCTCCAGCACACAGTGGAAGAACTTCAAGCTCAGGTACACTCTATGGATGGAGCCAAGGGCTGGTTTGAACGGCGCTTGAAGGAGGCTGAGGTGAGTTGGTGCCTGGTGAGTCTCAGAGGCTGATGGGAGGGGGGCACGCCAAACCAAGAAACAAGGAGTTGGTTAGGCCCTCGAACTTTCTGAGATCCCTTGGACTTAGGTATCCCCACAGCCTCCCTGGCTAAATAGCAGCCCTTTGGAGGGGACTAGGGGATGGCCATCAGTAAGGCAGAGCATCAAATCTGAAAATTTGAAAAGCCACCTCTTCTTTCTGAAATTATACTTCTGTCAGGAAATGATTGTAATATCCTAATGTTGTTTGAACAAAAACTTTTATTGCTACTTTCTGGAAAACTCCAGATAATCCAGTATGTGGGAGGTAGTGTCACAGACCCCTGAGGAACATAGATGCTGGATCCAACCACGTTCCCGGGTTTGAGTCCCGGCTGGGCCACTTTCTAGCTGTGTGACCTTAGCCAAGTTTCCTGACCTCTGTGCAACCTGTTTCATCATTGGTAAAAAAGGAATAACAATAATACCTATTGTCTAGGTATCGTGGAGGGGTATATAAAATGAGTTAATATATGTAAAAGCCTTACAACACTTCTCACCTGCTGTAAATGCTGTATTATGTTTTATTAAATAACATGTAAATGCAAATGTTAGTCTTGGATGTGACAACGCAGCCCCAGATGTGACACTTTTGTGTACTGCTGAAAGGCATGCGATGTTCCCTGCAGGAGTGTCTTTTCTGCACACCTGGGGACCCCGTGCTGCAGTCGCTCACACATCTCACTGGGCGTGATGTCCTCTGGGGGGCTGTGGTGAGACCTGGGACTTGTCTTGTAGGAATCTTTGCAGCAACAGCAGCAGGAACAAGAGGAAGCCCTGAAGCAGTGTCGGGAGCAGCACACTAATGAACTGAAGGTGCCTATTGCATGGTGTCATTCATCTCCGGGGAGGGAGAGGCTCTGGTAGAAGGACTGTTTCTGGAGTTGAGGCCTGAGCTGCCTTCTGCTTTGCAGAGCAAGGAGGAGGAGCTACAGTGTGTTTTGGATCAGCTCCAGCAGGCCCGGGAGGAGCGTGACTGCCACCTGAAGGCCATCAGCAGCCTGAAGCAGGTTACTGCTTGCCTCATGGTCCTCAAACACACCCCAGGCCTCGGCTTGCAGTAATAATGGGGCAGAGAGGGAGCCATTCTAGCACCCGCCAGCCATGCTTTCTCTATCACACAGGAAGTGAAGGACACAGTGGATGGGCAGCGCATCCTGGAGAAAAAAGGCAGTGCCGCGGTACGAGGGGGAAGTGGTGTCCCCGCACAGCCCTGTCCTGCCCTGTGTTCCCCAACCTGTGGCTCCACTGGGCCTCAGCCCCTCCCTTTCCCTCTGTGCCCCCAAAGCTCAAGGATCTCAAGCGGCAGCTGCACCTTGAGAGGAAACGGGCGGATAAGCTGCAGGAGCGGCTGCAGGACATCCTAACCAACAGCAAGAGCCGCTCCGGTGAGGGACCCAGACCTCAAGGGAGGCTGAGACCCAGGGAGGCAGGGCTTGGGCCTGAAGGCCGGAGCTGCTTCCTCTGCCTCATTCTACCAGCTCTCCTGTGTCTTCTGTCCCTCTTGAACTTGATCTGCCTTTTCCCTTTTCTCTGCATCTGTCTCTTTCCTCTGTTTGTATCTTTCTCTGCATTATCTCTATGGTCTCTCTTTCCTTTTTGCTGTGTCTCTTCTGTTTCTGTCTCCCTCTCTGCCTGCTCATATCATCTCTCTGTATCTGCCTTTCCCTCCCTGCTTTTTTCCCTAGTTCTCTCCTTTTCTCCTCCCACCTTTCTTTTTCTTTTCTCTCTCCCTTTATCTTTCTCTATCTGTCTCCTGTCTTTTTCTGTGTCTGCCTCTGTCCGTTACCCCGTAACCACCATGTGCACACTCCTGCACCTCGCCCAGTGTCTGTAAATGTCTTCTATCCATTCTCTCATCTATGAATATGGACTGAGTCCCCATGCTCCAGGGTCCCTGATGGGAAAGCCTCCATGTCTTGGTCTCAGTCCAAGATGAGCTAGGGAGACTGGCTTACAATCGGGCAGCAACACTGTGGTATGATCATTATGCAGCTAAAGTCCATCTTATTTCTGCCACTTATGCCAGGCAATGCAACAACAACGAAAGTTGGGTGCTGCGGACTTTTTTTTTTCCAAGAAAGAAATAGCCTATCGATATGTTTAAATAAATAAAGATGATGCAGTAATGACTCTGGTGCATCTCCCATATCACAGGCTCAGAGAAAACTTGTTCCCTGTCTCTCTGCAGCTCATCTGCTCTTGCAGGAGATCCTGAGGATATGGCATCAGCCCCCCAGTCCTGATACCCCAAAGCAGCTTCAGGAGCAGAGGCCTAAGCACAGTGGCCACGTTTTAAGCAACGTGGCAAAAACGAATGTATCTCACTAAATCAATGTCTCTGAGGCACTTTATATCTGAAGTAACCCATATTTATAAAAGAAGAGTTTGATTTCTCTTTCGTTACAGATTCATGTATGAATCAACAAACATATTCAAAATTGTATGCTATACATTGTTAGATGAAATCAGATTTAGGTGCCTGACTACAAGACTTAGTGCAATCTTTTCCTCTGTCTCTGCTCTGACTTGTGTCCTTATCCAGGGTCTCTTCCTCTCTCATCTTTCCCAGCTTGCTGTCTCTCTGCAATTTTATCTCTGCATGCGGGTGTTCTCCTGTGCCCTCTCCAGCTGTTTGTGCCCTGATGAGTGTCTGTGTGCCACTTTTCATGTCCATGTGTGTCCACTTCATGAAATTGCCCCCATTTCTTCACCTTTGCTTCTCTTCTGATGTGTGTGGGTTTGCCTAGAGAGACAGCTCCCTTTTCTGATGCAGCCTCTCCCTATCCTCCTGTGTGCCCAAGTGTCTTTTTGCCTCTTTCCATCTCTGTCTAATCTATTTCTGCCTCTTCCTGCCAGTTACTCCCCTCGGACCCTGGGGAACTGGAGCTCAGGTTTCTCTTCCCTCTCTGCCCAGGCCTTGAGGAGCTGGTTCTCTCAGAGATGAACTCACCAAGCCGGACCCAGACTGGGGACAGCAGTAGCGTCTCTTCCTTCAGCTATCGGGAAATCTTGCGGGAGAAGGAGACCTCAAGCATTCCAGCCAGGGTAAGAGGCAAGGAAGAGCCAACAGCTCCAGTCTCTCCTACCCAAATTCTGGGGCCCTCATTTTTCCTTCTGGACCCAGCACACGCATTTTCTTGTCAACGTTGCCCCAAGCTCACCAGCTTAGTTTCAGATCGCCAAATAGGGGATGGACAAATTATTCCCTCTAACCCTCTTTTTCATCATCTGTGGGTTAATTCTGCCTTTCCTGGTGCCATAAAGTAAGTAGTTTTAGGAGGTGCATCATCGCTATGGGAAGTCCTTTTTTCCAACTCATGATTATCACTTGCTATTGTTGTCTAACATACCAACTTCCTTGCCAGCTACTTTTGCTCGGATTTTTTTTTTTATTCCATGTGTGTGCATCATAGAAACAATTTTAAAACACAATTTTAAAAAAATCCAAAGCATTCGCATTTTCACCTGGAGATTACCACTATATATCCTTAGTTCTTGCCCTTCCAGGCCTGTTTCTCTTTTTGTAATCCTAAATGAGCTCATAAGTAACCTGTTTTTGTTCGGCTGATCGCTACCCTCTCATTTTGTTAATTTTCATCTCATCTAATACTCTGACCTTAATCAGATCTCTCCAGTTGGCTCCAAAATGTCATTTGTTGCTGGTTTTCTGTGAGTCAGCATTCAGTTTAAGAGCACATGTTGAATCTGGTTGCTTTAGGTCCCTTAAGTCTCTTGAATCTAGTATGGTAGCTTTTTTTTTTTTTTTTTTTTTTTTCACAACACCAACCTGTAGAAGAGACCAGCCCAGTTGACCTGCAAAAAGTATTCCGCCTTTTGAATTTTTCTGCTGGCTTTCTCGTGGTATCATTTAGCTGGTTCCTCTCTCCTCCATTTTTCCTGTCACCTGGAATTTAGGTCACAGGTGCTATGGGTTCTCCATTCTCTCCATAAGGCTATGATGTGGTCGTTCCTGTCTCTCCTTTAGGCAAAGGGGGATCAAGCCTGAGGGTGCCAAGACTTGACTACAGCCCTAGGTGCAGAGCCCACCCTCCGCCCAACACCCCGAAAGAGAAATTCAATCTCTTTCTTAACCCCGATTGTGTCTGGGGCTGAGGCACTGAGTTAGGGGGCTTCTCCCCTCCTCTTCCCTGCAGTCCTTGTCTAGCAGCCCTCAAGCACAGCCCCCAAGGCCAGCAGAGCTGTCAGATGAAGAAGTGGCTGAGCTCTTTCAGCGCCTGGCAGAGACGCAGCAGGAGAAATGGATGCTGGAGGAGAAGGTGCTGTCTGCCTGCTTGTCCCTACATGGCCAGGAGGCCAAGGAGGGGTGGTTGATGTCTGGCTGGCCCCTCCTCGTGTAGATGTATGCAGTCAAAGGGTCTGAGGTAGGCTGGGCCACCCCACAGGTGAAGCACCTGGAAGTGAGCAGCGCCTCCATGGCAGAGGATCTCTGCCGGAAGAGTGCCATCATTGAGACCTACGTCATGGACAGCCGGATCGGTCAGTGGCCCGTCCCCAGCCCTCACCAATCATCCAACCTTGCCCCTGCTCCCTCCTTCCCCACTGTCCAATGCCAGGGCTTTTCTCCTCTTCTCTTGGAACTCAGCAAAGCTACTGACAAGACCACAGCTGATGGAAGGGATACCAGGGCAGCCTGTACTTGTGTCTTTCTGTTCTCTCTTATCTTGGCTCTTCCCTCTTCTCTGGGTCTCTGTCATCTTTCCACTCTGCTTTCTCTAGTGTGTCTCTCTGCCTTCTTTCTCCTTTCTTCTCTCTTTGTCACTTCCTCGTCTTTCTCCCCCTTATCTCTTCTCCTTGTCTCTTTTTTGTGCCCCATTTCCCCTTCATGTTGTCACAGTGTTCCTGTCTATATTGTTCCATCTCAACACATTTTCTTAACATTTTTTTCAGAAATTTTCTTTCTCTGTGTGTGAATACCTTTGGGGCCTTATCTTTTCCTCACTTTTCTCCCTCCTCTCTCCTCTTCCTCTCCTCTCTCCTCTTTCTCCCCCCCATCTTTATTTCTTTTGCCCCATTGTTTCAAACCTTCTCTCCCTTTTCCCCCCTATGAATCAGAATAATACCAACCGACATGCGCTGAGACCTGACTGTGCTCTGTTCTTCACATGCAGTCATATACATTTTTCCAGCTCCATGAGTTAGTTATCCCCATTTTTCAGGGCAGCACAGCTACCAAGTGACAACCAGGATTCACATGGCTAAGCCTCTGCCCCTTACATGAAATGGCCTGTCCCCCACTTTTCTCCTCCACTCTCCGTTTCCTTTTTTTCTGCTCTGTCTCTGGCTATTTCTCCACTGGTTCTGCTGAGTGGGTAGCTCTCAGCCTGGGCCCTTGCAGATGTGTCCGTGGCAGCAGGCCACACAGACCGCAGTGGGCTGGGCAGTGTCCTGAGAGACCTAGTGAAGCCAGGAGATGAGAACCTTCGGGAGATGAACAAGAAGCTACAAAACATGCTGGAGGAGCAGCTCACCAAGAATATGCATCTACATAAGGCGAGTAGCCTACCACTGTGCCCATCTGTCCATGCAGCCACCCGACTCCCCGGTCGCCATACAGGCCCTCGGTCATCTGCCAGTCTCCCCCATCTACCCACCCCATTCACCAACCATTCCTTCATCTTCATCTTCCCATCCTCCAGTCAAGTTGCTATGGTTAGTTTGGTTCACTTTTCCCTCTGTCCTTGCATCCATCCACTCGTCCGTTCATATACGCAGTCACCCAACTCTTCCATTGACCTACCGTACTATTTGTCCATATGCCCCTTACTCATTCAATCATCTGCCCCATGTCTTTCCACCCATTTCCTGACCTACTGCCCTCTTTCTTAACACCTATTCATCAATCATACTCCTTGCCCTAGCTTTTACCCACCCACCCAGCAACCTGCCTGCCTACCCGGTGCCCTTCCTTTGTCCTCTGAACAGTTCATTTGTCCACCTGTTTGCCTACCTTGGATCCCCCATGTGTCTACCCACATGTCCACTTGTCCATCCTGGCACTCAAATATTTCCCCCATTTCTGAAGGATTTAGAATGAATGCAGACCGGGCATCCGCTTCAGAGGAGCAAACTCACTATTTACTAAAAAGAAGGTGGCCAGGGTGGTAGGGGGTCATATCCTCCAGTGCACCGTGCATAGTAGGCAATCCACTCCCATATCCATATCCCTATCTCCAGAGGCTCCCATACCCTCATACATACACCTTTCCTGAGCCCAGCTCACTGCTAGGGCCTTTGTGAACTTCTCCAAACACCTTCCTGTCCCAGGCTAGACTTGGGTATTGATTAATAAAGTAAGAAGGACACCCCAGGCTTGGTGAGGGAGCTTCCCCTGCTACCTTCTCTGGCCCCTGATGGTTTATTTGTTTCTTAGGACATGGAAGTTCTGTCCCAGGAAATTGTGCGGCTCAGCAAGGAGTGTGTCGGGTCCTCTGACCCAGATCCACAACCAGGAGAAGCCAGCTAAAGACCTGCAGGCTGCCCCCACTTCCTCCTCAACCCACCCCTACAACACCATTCCCTTGGGCTAAAGTGGGGAAATGGGGGCCAGCACCAAAATCAAATAAGTTAGGAGACTGGACATTAAAGGGGTTGGAAGCCTGATGGCTGGTTGTTAGTGACCCTATCTTAGGGCAGTGGTCCCTGGGGAGTGAGGACCCCGAGGGGAAGGGCAGGGATTTCTGGTCCTCCTTGGCCCTGATTCCCAGGGGCAGTTGCCTTCATCTCTGCATGAGCTCTCCTTCCCAGAGACCAACTCTTTTTTATTTTATTTTATTTTTAATTTATGTCTGGAAGCCTGGCTACTCTGCATTTGGGGTCGGGGATATTGGGTGGGGTGCAGTCCGTGTTCAGCATTCTAGCAATGTGTGTGTGTGTAAAGGCTGTGCAGCCAAAATATCATCTGGCCAGGTGGGCCCACCCACTGACTGTCTGCCCTCATTCTTTCCAGCCAGTAGGGATGTACTGTACTGGTCACACCACTGGAATGGGAAGGGAGATCTCTGGCCTCAGCTTTACTCTCCTTCACCCAGCCTCAGCCAGACTGTCTTCAGTGGCTGTTGACTAGCCCCTCAAACTAAGTGGAGCAGAAATATCTGCAGATATATGTGTGGGTAGATGTGTATGGGGTGTGGGTATGGTTGAGTGGGCAGGTGGAAGGATGGGTAAGTGGATGGACTAACGGATAAATAAATAGAAGGTTGCATGGATAATGGATAGATTAGGAAATAAATGGACAGATGGATGAATAGGCAATGGGATGAATAAATGGATAGATGGATTGGTAGGTGGATAGGTAGAGAGGATTGACAGGTGCGAATACAAGTGGACAGATGGATGGCTAGGGGAATGTGAATGGATGAGCGGGCAGATGGATGAGCTAATGAATGAGAAGAAAAGGAGAATAAATGATGGGCAAGAGCTATGGGTGAGTGGACAGAGGGAGTTACATATGAATAGGCTGGTGAGTAGTTTGGTAGATGGGGTAAATATACAAATGGATGAGCGCGCGGGTGGGTGAAGGGATGGAGAAATGGACAAATCAGAAGTGTGATGAGTTTGCAAATGGAGGGTTACATGGAGATGAATTGAAAGGCTATAATTGGCCCTGCATTACTGCTCTCCGGCGCCACAGAGCTTTAATTACTAAAAACGAGTCCTCTGCACCATGCCCTGTGCATCCCCTTTCACATCACTCCATGTAATGCTCCCAGTGACACCATCAGGTTGGGGTAACTCTCCATCTGACAAATGAGGAAACAATGCAAGTCACTTGCTCAAGGACACAGCAAGTCAGCAAAGCTGGGGTTCGAACCCATCCACGCCAGAGGCACTTGGTACCTAGTGCTCTTGCCACAGGAGCACAGCTCTCTAGGGGAGGACATGATGTGAGGCTCCAGGATGTGAACAGATGAAGGAGACTACCCCTCAGAGTGGGGCCTGCTGGGAAAGAACCTGGTATGGGAGTAGGATCTCACTTGTCCCCAGCTGCACTCACCCCCCATTTCACATTTGAAAACAGGATGACCACACTTCAGTCCCAGCAGTCTTGGTTAGAGCTGGGCTTTAATCGGTGTCCCCCAGCAGCTTTGGGGGCCTGGCCATCTATAGAAATGCTCTCCACCAGTACCCCTTCATCCATCCCTTCTCCAGCCTTGGGGGGGGGGCAGGGAGGGGACACAGCGCTGCATCATTCCCTGTGGCACTCTGCTCTAGGGCCATTAAATAGACGCCTCCCCATCGATTGCATCTGCTAAGTGCTGCTGATTCAGACGGTGGGGGTGGGGGACCCAAGGGGCAGGGGGGTAGGAGCTGGGCAGGAAGAGGGGTGAGTCCAGGAAGGAGGTGGGAAGAACTGGCAAAGCTCCCCACCACCCCCATTTTCCAGATGACGCGACTGAGGCCCAACCAGCTTTGTAGGAGGCGGAGTCTCCCCAGGGTCCCTCTCAGGCAGTCCTAGGGGAAGGGGCTCTGGGAGCCAAGAGGCCCCTCCCTGCCTCTCCATCTTCCGGCAAAGCTCAGAGGGGCGGGGAGAGAGCCAGAGGAGGAGGAGAGATTGGGCAGCTCTGCAGAGGGGGGCAGGAGCTCCGGTGTTTGGTACCCCCAGCCCCTCCGCTGTTGCCGCTGCTGCAGTGGGGACACAGGTGAGGTTGGCCTTGTGGGGAGTGGGAGGGGGCCACGAACAGCGTTGTCCTTGCCCTTCCCTGGTCCATTCCCCACGCCCTTGCCTATCCTGGGACAGTACCCCGGGATCCTGGACCTTGTCCTTCCAAAACCTCCATTCAGGGACTCAGCCCCCTCCCCTGTCTGTGCTGCCTTCACTCCCAGGCCTGGCTGTGGCTGCTTCTCTTCTTCCTCCAACTGCTGCTGCTGCTGCTGCCCAGCGAACACCATCAGCCCCTCGGGGTGTGGTTTCCCAGACCAGCCCCCTGGAGTGGGATGCAGTCTTATCTCGGCCTCCCTCCTCAGCCTCCTGCAAGGCCCAGCGGCCCCGCTTCCTGGAGACACACCCAACTCCCTCTCAGCATCCCACTCCGATCTCTGACTCATTTTGGGGAGCACCCCCTCTTCCTCTTAGTCCTTTTCGATCCTCTGGGTGCTCTGGGTCTGTGTCTAACTTCCTTCAAATTGAGCTCCAGTCCCACAGGATTCCCCAAGCCCCTTTTCTGTCCCTGGAACTCTTATGAGGATAGACCAGGCTTTCTCAAACCCCTAGGTACCCCTCTCCTCCTGACACTTCTTAGCCTCTGAAAAAAATAACCTAGCCCCTTATCTGTCCTATCCAATACCCCACTCCTTTCTCCAGACCCACTAGCGACCCCGCCTCTCCTTCATTCCTCAGAACTACTTTAAAATGTAGACACCCACCAGGCTATTCTTGGCAGCTCTAGACACTCCCAAGACATCTCTCAGCCTCTTTACAACCTCTTGGCTCTGTGGGCATTTGTTAGATGCATCAACCCTTTTCCTAGGTCCAGGAAGGGACTCCAACCTCCTTATCTTTTCCCAGAGGTCTTCAGTGTGGACCACCTTCCTCACCTTTCTCATCCCCCCCCAAAACCCCTGTACAGACACTTTCAGCCTCTATAAATACCTCTACCCTTCTGGTCCCATTTCTACCCTTCTGGATGCCCCAATCCTCTCTCCAACTTTGCTAAGTAGTTCTAGTCCCTTCTTCCTTTCCCCAGAACTCCTGAGAATGTGGACAGCTCCCTAGTGTTTCTTGTCCCCACTAGATACCCACACACATCTGTCAGGCACATGTGGATCCATATCAGTTTCTCTAAATGCTCCCTCAGATCCTCTGTCCCCTCTAGACACCCCTTCTCTGCTCCTTTCCATGTCCCCCACCCCCTTCTCAGTCCCTGAAGACATCCCCCAGGTTCCTCCCAGACGCTCTAAATGCCCCCCAAGCTCCTGCCCCTGTCTCTAGTTCCTCCTTCAGGTTCCTCTTGGCATCTCTAGACATCCCCAGTTTCCTTGTGTGAGTGCCCCACGTCCCCTCCAAGCCCCCAGCATCCTGGAGACAGCCACATTCTCCTAAAGGCCACCACCCCAAGTCTCAGAGGGCCTGGGGTGAGCGGCAGGATGGCAGCAGGTGTGGCCACGTGGCTGCCTTTTGCGCGGGCTGCCGCAGTGGGCTGGCTGCCTCTGGCCCAGCAGCCGCTGCCCCCAGCACCAGGGGTGAAAGCATCTCGAGGAGATGAAGTTCTGGTGGTGAACGTGAGTGGAAGGCGCTTCGAGACCTGGAAGAACACACTGGACCGCTACCCAGACACCCTGCTGGGCAGTTCAGAGAAGGAATTCTTCTACAATGCTGATTCGGGCGAGTACTTCTTCGATCGCGACCCGGACATGTTCCGACACGTGCTGAACTTCTACCGCACTGGCCGTCTGCACTGCCCGCGGCAGGAGTGCATCCAGGCCTTCGATGACGAACTAGCCTTTTATGGCCTGGTACCTGAGCTTGTTGGCGACTGCTGCCTGGAAGAGTACCGGGACCGCAAGAAGGAGAATGCAGAGCGCCTGGCGGAGGATGAGGAAGCCGAGCAGGCCGCGGACGGGCCAGCATTGCGGGCCGGCAGCTCCCTTCGCCAGAGGCTTTGGCGGGCCTTCGAGAACCCACATACGAGCACTGCAGCCCTCGTCTTCTACTACGTGACCGGCTTTTTCATCGCTGTGTCAGTCATCGCCAACGTGGTCGAGACCATCCCGTGTCGCAGCCCCGCGCGTCGGCCTTCGAGGGAACAGCCCTGTGGGGAACGCTTCCCGGTGGCCTTTTTTTGCATGGACACGGCCTGTGTGCTCATATTCACGGGTGAATATCTCCTGCGGCTTTTTGCTGCCCCCAGCCGCTGCCGCTTCCTGCGGAGTGTAATGAGCCTCATCGATGTGGTGGCCATCCTGCCATACTACATCGGGCTCTTTGTGCCCAAGAACGAGGATGTCTCTGGCGCATTTGTCACCCTTCGTGTGTTCCGGGTGTTCCGCATCTTCAAGTTCTCCCGGCACTCGCAGGGCTTGCGAATTCTGGGCTACACACTCAAGAGCTGTGCCTCTGAGCTGGGCTTTCTCCTCTTTTCCCTTACCATGGCCATCATCATCTTTGCCACTGTCATGTTTTATGCTGAGAAGGGCACAAACAAGACCAACTTTACTAGCATCCCTGCGGCCTTCTGGTATACCATTGTCACCATGACCACACTTGGGTGAGTGCAGACCCTGTGTTAGGAACTGCCCTACCAGGCAATTACACTCACCGTTTTTGTAAAAGAAGGTTAGGTAAATGATCTCTCTCTATTTCAGCTTCCATTTTCTCATCTGTAAAAACTGAAGAACTTGGGTTAGTCTTCAAATTCCATCCACCTCTGACAATGCCTTGATTTTCCACATCAAGAGACTTGGGTTCAAGCATTGTCTTAGCTGTACTCTTCCTGTTGGTCTTGTGTTCTCTGGGCCTGTTTTCTCCTCTGTAAAATGAGGACTGGTGATCCCTTTTTAGGAGCTTCAGTGACAGTTCTGACAGTTGTGAAAGTTCTCTGGAAATGTCTCATGCAAGATAAATAGGTATTGCTTTTCTATCACCCCCTTTTCTATCTTGAGCACCCACAGCTCTCACCCACTAGAATCATCTGGTCTGTGGGGCACTACCTCTGTGGCTCCCCAGAGCAAGATAGTTTCGGCATGATTTTTTTGATTGCTAGTCCTGGAGATGAAATGGTTGGGATAAAAACATCAAATGGAACCACCAAACTCATGTTGCTCTTAAAGACACTATCTAGGGCAGAGACTGTGAGCCTTTTCTAATTTCCATCACTGAGATGAGGTATACAGTTGCTGCTCAGTATCTGTTGAGTGGATGAATTGGGCTTACTCGGATCCCTTAATAGAGGTACAGAAACATTAATTTGAGGTTTCTAAGGAGTAGAAATTAATTCTGGTTGGAAGTTCAGGATTAAATTGACAAATGAACACTGAGCCTTGAGAATGGATTGGAATGGGATCACTTGATGCCTTTTACCTATTCAGTCTTCACAATAACCTTTGGAGGCTGGGCAGCTGCTTGTGTCTTCTAGTTGAGAACACAGTCTGAAATGACACATTACAGAGCCAGAAATGGCCAAGTTGAAGAAACTTTTAAATAAGTCTAAAAAAAATAAAAACATGAACAAAATAAATATGGAAGAGCCATGGGGCTGAGTGGGCACAGTTTGAATGAAGGCCTAGAGGTGTAAGGCGGCAGAGGCTGCACTTTTGTGGAGGGGATCTGATTAGTCCTGCAGTTAGTATAAAAGTATACTGTGTGATCTCGAGCAAGTCAGTTATGGAACCTCCCTGACTTTAGTTTTTACCCCCTCTGTGAAACAAGGTGGCAAGATTGGCTCTGCTCCATCTCCGTGGGGGGAGGGGTGGTATGGAGAAAGGGAGGGGGCAATTTTAAGGCTCCCCCTTATTTTTTCATATGAGGACAGTTTCAAGGTTTCCTCTGGGGGAACAGGAAGGGGTCCTACCTAGAGAAGGTAAAACATGCAAACAAAACTAACGGAGCACTGCTGCCAGGACTCAGAGCCCCTCAGCTGGTTTGCGGTGGTGGAACTCACTCCTCAGAGGGCTATGTTCACTGCCTGTGATTTCTTCCTTCTCCCCTATGCTAGGTATTAATAGATTTTCAGCTGGGTCAGAGGCCCAGTGCACAGCTTGGATGGGGACAGCAGATAGTAGGGGCTGAGGGCCCATTTCTCATTTGACCCCCACTGGTGGTCCAAAAGGTCATCCCTCACATTTTGTAGAGCGAGAAACAGGCTCAGAGAATTCAAGTGCCTGGCCATGGTCTTGGAGTGAGTTGGGTTGGATGGGATGAAGTGGGGGACTGAGGAGTGGGTAGACACTTTTCTTGACCTTGGCTCACCTCCTCTGGCCCCAGATATGGAGACATGGTGCCCAGCACCATTGCTGGCAAGATTTTTGGATCCATCTGCTCACTCAGTGGTGTCTTGGTCATTGCCCTGCCTGTGCCAGTCATTGTTTCCAACTTCAGCCGCATCTACCATCAGAACCAGCGTGCTGACAAGCGCCGAGCACAGCAGGTAGCTGTGCCTTCCATCTGAGTATCTCCTATTCCCCCTGACCCCAAGCCAGTCAGTCACTTGTTGTGTTTACCCACCTGACTCCTTCTCTCCTCTCTGTAGAAGGTGCGTTCAGCAAGGATCCGGTTGGCAAAGAGTGGTACCACCAACGCCTTCCTGCAGTACAAGCAGAACGGGGGCCTTGAGGTGGGTAGGTCCCAGACTGAGGTTGGGTGTGAGCGGTGATGGGAGGAGGAAGGTGCTGACCTCATTTCTCTGCTCCATCCCCTCCAGGACAGTGGCAGTGGGGAAGAACAGGCAGTGTGTGTCAGGAACCGTTCTGCTTTTGAACAACAACATCACCACTTGCTGCACTGTCTAGAGAAGACAACGGTGAGGCCTAAAGAGAAGTGGCATAGCAGAATGAAGGGGATCTCTCTGCCACCAAGCCAGCTCTCCCCCTGGGATTGGAGGCTCACTAGTAATTATAGAAACCATGCAGGGATTACTGGAAGAGGCCTAATAGAGCTGAGCCTTGAAGGATGGACAAGGAAAGGGAAAAGAGAGTGACTTGCAGAAAGGAAGGCCGAAGCAAAGGCCTGGCAGTGGGGACAACCCTATGGTGACTTGTGACCGTGCCTCCCTTCTCCCCACAGTGCCATGAGTTCACAGACGAGTTAACCTTCAATGAAGCCCTGGGTGCTGTCTCACTGGGTGGCCGCACCAGCCGCAGCACCTCTGTGTCCTCCCAGCCTGTAGGTCCTGGAAGCCTGCTATCCTCTTGCTGCCCCCGCAGGGCCAAGCGCCGTGCCATTCGCCTTGCCAACTCCACTGCCTCGGTAAGCCGTGGCAGCATGCAGGAGTTGGACACTCTGGCAGGGCTGCGGAGGAGTCCTGCCTCTCAGAGGTAAGTAACCCCTACCAGTTGGCCACACCTGAAGAAGCTCAGAGCTTGGACCAGAGGGTCTGAGATTTCATGACCCCAGGCCTAGCAAGTCAAGCTCAAACCTAAACTCCTCCATGCTGGAATCTTGGGCTTATCTTGTCTGGAACTTTTTGTTCTTTCAACAACCATTTATTGAGCACCTACAATATGCTAGGCACAGTTTTAGCTACTTTGGAGTTCACTTTAGGAGTTTAGGAGTTTACTTTAGGCAGTGAATAGAACAGGCAGAAATCCCTAACCTTCTGGAATTTATAAGCTAGTGGCATATGATTTGTTTGTTAATAAACAAACAAACACACAGATGATGTAAGTGCCAAGGAGAAAAATAAATGAGGGATGGGGATAGAGAGTGTAGAATAGGGTGTGATGTAGTTTTAACTATGTGGTCAGGGAAGATTTTGCTAAGGTGACATCTGAGCCAAGACCTGCAAGGTGTGAGGGAGTGAGCCATGTAGGTATCTAAAGGAAGAGATTTCCAGGCAGAGTAAACAGCCTTTTCAAAGAACCTGAGGCAGAGATGGGTCTATGCATCTCTAACAAGAGACACTGCCAGGAACTACAGTGAGTAGAGTGGTGTAAGTGAGGAGGAGAGTGGCAGGAGGTAAAATCAAAAAAGGAGCAAGGACCAGATTATGTAGCTCCTACTGTAGACTGCTACAAGAACTTAGGGATTGTAAGAAGCAATCATAACAGGTAATTCTTGTGTGTGTGCGTGCATGAGTGCTCATTATGTTTCAGGTACTGTTCTGAGCACTTTGTATCATTTATTATCTCATTTAATCTCCACATGAGAAATACAGCAGGTCCTTCAACAACATCATTTTGTTCAATGTTGTTTTAGGTTTTTGTTTTTGTCCTTTTAAACTAAAGTTTACATTCAATATTATTTTGTAGTAGTTTCAGGTGTACAGCATAGTGGTTAGACAATCATATACTTTACAAAGTGTTGCCCTGATATTTCCAGTACATGCCTGTCACCACACATAGTTATTACAATGTTATTGAGTATATTTCCTGTGGTGTACTTTACATCCCCATGACTGTTGCGTAACTACCAATCTGTACTTCTCAATCCCTTTACCTCTTTACCCAGAGTCCTTCCCCTCTGGTAACCAACAGTCTGGTCTCTGTATCTATGAGTCTGTTTCTGTCTTGTCTGTTCATTTACATTGTTCTTTAGATTCCACATATAAGTGAAAGTCATATGGTATTTGTTTTTCTCTGACTGATTTATTTCACTTAGCATAACACCCTCTAGGTCCATCTATGCTGTCACAAATGGTAAGAATTTTTTTTTACAGCTGAGTAATATTCCCAATGTCATTTTGTTATAACATTGATGAGGTACATAGGAACTTAACCCTTGTTTTTATCAATTAGCCTGTGGTAAAATTTGTTTTGTTGTACATCATTTCACTTAAAGTCACAGAACCTATTGACAATGTTAAGTGAGGACTTAATTGGTTGTTACGCCCATGCTTCCGATGAAAGAAAAGAGAGGTTTTGAGTGGTAAAAGTGGGATCAGGATTCAAACCCAGGGCTGCCTGACTAGAGCCCTCGCTCTGTACCACCATAATTGGGGGTACAGGGGAACCATTTACCACAGTGTCAGGGATCCAGTAGCTGTTCAAGAAATGTCATGATTGCTGTGGCCAGTATTAAGATGACTTTTTAAGACTCTTCCATCTTCCCACCCTTATCCACAGCCGCTCAAGCCTCAATGCCAAGCCCCATGACAGCCTTGACCTGAACTGCGACAGCCGGGACTTCGTGGCTGCCATCATCAGTATCCCTACCCCTCCTGCCAACACCCCAGATGAGAGCCAGCCTTCTTCTCCTGGTGGCGGTGGTGGTGGCGGGGCCAGCAGCAACCTTAGGAACTCCAGCCTGGGTACCCCTTGCTTCCTCCCTGAGACTGTCAGCATCTCTTCCTTGTGAGGGGTGGGCCTGCCCATCCAGAGGGCCCACTTGATTTCTGGGGACTCCTTTCCAAAGCCATATTTGGGGAGACAAACAGGGCAGGCTTGGGGGACCCTTCTTCCCGCAACTGAGAACTATGCAATGGAGTTTCATGGAATGGCCCACTTTGTGGGGATGTAGTCAGGGAATGGGACACTCCCCACACCCATTTTCCTGGTGGGAGCTGAATCGTTGGGCTTCCTCAGGCCCTGGCCTCTTCGCCGCAGCACACTGGGACCAGACTCTCTCCCTGAGTTGGCCTCCTGCATGCTCCTCCCCTTGGGCCCTCAGGCTCCCGGGCTCCCACCTGACCTCTGAGCTCTGGCCTGAGAAGAAGAGGTGAGATTTCCTTTTCTCTCTATCCGGACTGTGGAGGTTTGGGGGTTCAGGGATGAGAACCATCACCTCTGCTCTGGCCCCTCAGAGAGATCCCCACCCTTCACTGGGCCCAATAACACCTAAATTCCAAGCTTGGAATGCTACCACAGGCTTCAAGGGCTGTGGCCTCAGCAGTGACCTTCCACCCCCAGGCTGTGGCTCAAAAGTGAAGCTGCCTCTCCCAACACACACACAGATAGCACAAACATTACCCCTCTTCCCTAGCTGCTGGGAATGGGTCCTTGCAACCCCACCCTCTGCTGGGCCCCCAGCAAACTCTAGCAATAGCAGCTGCTGCCATGACATTATGCAAAGCCTCTGCCCAGTTTGCTGCAGCATTTACATCTGCCCTAATCACAGGGGCCACCTCTAATACTCCTCCTCTTTCCTCTGGTTTGTTTCCTTCCTGGGTTGGGCTGGAGTCTGGACTGGCTGAGATAAGCACCTGGCAACCAGCAAGGGCTGGGCTGGGTTTGGAGATCAGGAGCTGATTCTGTGTTCTTGGGCAGGAGTCCAGAAGCCTCAGGGGCTGAGGCTTGGGTTGTTATTGAACTCTGGGAGTTGTAGGAGGCAGGGAGAATTTCTTTATCTTCTCCTCCCCCACAACATCTTTTCACATATTCCTCTCTCTTCTTCTTGGGTCACCTTCTGGAACTCTGTTTTTGCACTCAGGCTGATATCTGGCATCATCTCAGGTTCCCTGTCCCCAGCACTGTCCCTGTGGAACTGGTGGCTGACAAAGATGTGGTTTCCATCAGTCAATAAAACCTGAGAGGAGAGATGAGGATGATCACCTCCTGGCTCCGTGGATTTGGGGGCTGGGTTGGGCTGGGGAGTTGAAAGAAGTACTCTGATTTCCATTCCTGTCAACTAGTAGAAGAGCTGGTGTGGGTAAAGGTATGGGAGGTAAATGGTTGGTGACATGTTCTGGAACATGTGGATCTAGGAGAAATTTAAAAAAGGGGGTGGTTGAAGAGTTCACTCTCCAGCCAGTGTGAACACAGCAGGCTAGGAGGTCTTGAGACATGCCCCCCTTGGACATCACCTGCTCCAGCTCCCCAACTCACATATGGGAAAACTGAGACCCAGAGCAGCACATGCTTGGTTAGGGGGAGACTTAAACCCAGGTTTCCTGACAGCAAATGGCTCTCAACTGAACCCTGATGAAAAACATCTTCCAATGTGGCAAAACCACTTTCCTTGTGGATGTTCCCTACATTTTCTCTTCTGGTCTCCTAGGCAGTGTGTGACTAAGCTCTGTGGAGCACTGAAATGACAGACCTTGGATTCTTGTCAACTCGGACTCTAATCCTGGAGGGAGAGAATTACTTACCTTCTCTTGCCCCAGGCTGCTAATCTGTGAAACAGAGACAATTGCTCTTTAAAAAATTTTTTTAATTAATTTATCCTTAGAAGGGAAGGGAAAGAGAGAGGGAGAGAAATATGGATGTTTCATTGCCTCTCATGTGTCCCCTGCTGGGAACTGGCCTGCAACCCAGGCATGTGCCCTGACTGGGAATCAAACCACGATCTTTTGGTCCGCAGGCCCACACTCAGTCCACTGAGTTATACCAGCCAGGGCTGACAACTGTTCTTTTATTCACCAAATATTTATTAACTGAATATCATGTGCTAGCCCTGGGGATACAGAGATGAGCAAAGTAGACATCATCTCTGTTCTACAGAGGTCAGCATGGAAGACAACTAAGCAGTTACAATATAGTGCAGGAGAACTAAAATCAATAGATTACAGAAGAATATAGATGACAGGAGAAACTAACCTGACTGACACACAAAGAATGAAATGTAGTTAGCCAAGCAAGAGACAAAAGGGTAAGAATGTTTCAGGTAGAGGGAACAGCATGTGCAAAGTCCTGGAGGTTAGAGATGTACCCTGGGGTCTTTGGGAAACTGAAATTTAGTTGAGTAGAGTTGGGAAGGAGGATGTGAGAATACAGCGAAGGAGAGGATATAGCAATAAGCCAGATCACAAAAGGCCTTTGAAGCTAGGATACAGATTTTGGACTTCATCTTAAAGATAATGGGGACCTCTAAAGGCTTATTAAACAGGAAAGTCATCATGAGGTTTGTGTTTCAGAATGATCATTCTGGTTGTGGGTAGTGAATTCTAGAGAAAACAGTACTGGAGGAAGAGCAGTGAGGAGGCTTTTGCAGTAGTCTAACTGGTAGGTGATGGTGGCTTGGACCAAGTAGTGGCAGTAAGAGTTTGGAGAGACAAAAGATTTGAGAGGTAGAATTGTCAGGGCTTGGGATTGATGGGCATCTGGGAACTGAGGAAGAGGCAAGGCTGACTCCTAGGTTTCTGGTTTGGGCAAAGGCTGGGGGCTGCCATCTACTGAGAAAGAGAACATCAAAGCTGTTAGCACACAGTGCCAGGCACATAGTAAGTACTTGGTGATGATTAGCTACAATTATTATCATAAGATCAGTTTTACATTTGTGGTGCTGGACAAATATCCAGTAGAGAGTAGGATATATAGGTCAAGTGAGATGGTCATGAGAAGATTCAATGTGATAACGTGCACAGGCATTGGGCACAGTGCCCTGAACACAATAGGCCCAGTAAACATGAGTCCTCTCATTAAGTTTCATCAACAAAAAACACAATAGTATATTTATTACTAACACCCTTCAGAGTAGACTTCAATTAAGGTTGCCATCTGAAGGCAGGTTAGGTGGCACTCAGAAGAGCTTTTTTTGATGATCTCTCTTTCAGTCAACCTGTTGTGTGGCTTGGTTCCTAAGACATAGGGAGCGAGCCCTTACCTCCTATAACAGGTTCTTGGTTCATGAACTCATAGGAACCCTCTAACTACTACTTGAGGTAGTCTAGGCAGGCATTATCATTCCCGTTTCATACACGGGTAACCCCAAATTTTAGACACAATGATTTGCTCAAAGCCTGGGATCCTCCCGGTTCACTGTCATGCCTACTAATTTATTGAGCACTTACTGTGTGCCAGAAACACTACCAGACCCTTTACAAGCATGAATCTCTGATCCTTAAATTGGAATTATCATTGCACTGTTACAAATAAGTAAAAATGGAAGATGGGGTGGATGTTAAATGGCTTGCCAGAGATCACTCAGACGGGAGGAGCAGAACTAGAATTAGCTTGTAACTATCCAGCCGCTCAGTAGCAGAGAGTTTTACCAACCCCATTGTGAGACACTGGCTGGTGACAGAGATGAATACATAAAATTTTGTTTGATCCAGGTAAACTCAGTTTCACACACACAAAAAAGGCAGCTGTGTCACGCCTGCGCACCAGCCACAGGGGCGGGGAGGTCAACGCAGGGGCGGGGAGGTCAACACAGGGGCGAAAGTGTGGTGGTGCCAAAGAGGGCGTGTCTACTTCCCAAACACCCAGTTCCTTTTGGTGTATGCCTGTCACAAGGTTGGCCCGTCTGACGCAAATGACTGCATCTCTTAGCCAATCACCGCAGCACTCAGCCTGTTGTCAGAGTGAAGCGGCGCCCGCCTCTCCATTGGTGCGGATTTGCAGGTGGGTGGAACCGGAAGTGACGCTTCAGGGGATTGCTCCGCTCAGGGAGTGTTGATATTTTCCTGTCAGTCTGACGGAGAGCGGTCAAGTTGGAAGCCTGGAAGGGAGGTGCTTTTAAACCTGTCGTGTGCGGGACAGGCTGGGCTGTCCTGTCGCAGTACCTCTGCCTGAGAGTAAAAGCCTCGTCGAAAGAAGAGCAGGACGTCGCGGACGAGAAAAAAGGCCAGGAACCGGGGTGCCAACTTTGACATCTGAGACGGAGATTCACAGGAGGCCGATTGCTCGCCTCCGATTGGCCATTGGTCGTCAGCGAGGACCCACGCAGTAGCTTCAATTGGTTGGTGCCCGCAATTGTTGTGGCAGTGGTGAAGATTTTGCCCACGTACTTCCGAGCAAGAGGCGGGGGTTGTGCTCTGGCGCGCGTGCGCGGCGACTGGGGGGCCCCACCCGGTAGTTCAAGAACTTGCCAGGGGGCGGGGCGAAGAGGTGCTTGTTTTGGTTCTGTTTCCTTTGACACGGAAGGCCGGAACGAGCGTGACAGTCAGCTTGCCGAACTCGGAGAGTAGGCGAAGACACTCGCCGCACTGCCTGCATCTTGGATTTCACATCCGGGTTCTTCTGTCGCGTGACCCGCGTGCCGCCTACGGTTCTCCAGCCGGTGCCTCAATCTCTTTATCCGGATCCATTCGATTCCCATCGTGCTTCGCGCACCGCATTATTCCCTCATCCGGGTTCTCTCCCAGCGTGCCGTGCGCCGGGTTTGCTGGGGGCTACTGTGGTGTCCCGCCATGACTATTCTCCCCAAAAAGAAGCCGCCGCCTCCCGACGCCGACCCCGCCAACGAGCCGCCGCCGCCCGGGCAACTGCCCCCGGCGCCGCGCCGCGGCGGGGGTGTGGGCGTGGGCGGCGGCGGCACGGGTGTAGGCAGCGGCGACCGTGAGTCGGGCGTTGTGGGGGCCCGTCAGCGGGCCTCACCGCCACCTCAGGGCCCGCTGCCCGGGCCACCGGGTGCACTTCACCGCTGGGCGCTGGCTGTGCAACCTGGCGCAGTGCCGGGCCCTCGGCCTCAGCAGGGCTCTCCACCTCCTTGTGGGGGCCCAGGCGGTCCTGGCAGCGGCCCGGGGGACGCGCTGGGCGCATCTGCAGCAGGTGTGGGCGCGGCGGGAGTGGTGGTGGGCGTGGGCGGCACGGTGGGCGTTGGCAGCTGCTGCTCCGGGCCTGGCCACAGCAAGCGGCGGCGTCAAGCCCCGGGGGTTGGGTCAGTTGGAGGGGGCAGTCCGGAACGAGAGGAGGTCGGCGCTGGTTACAACAGTGAGGATGAGTATGAAGCGGCTGCAGCACGCATTGAGGCCATGGACCCTGCCACTGTTGAGCAGGTATGGGCTTGGGATGACAGGTGAGTGGGGATGGTGGATGGGATCCCCAAATTAGTTAGAGACCCAAGGGACTTAAAACGTCTTCTCGGAGCCTCATACTTTTTCCTCTGGTGGTAAGGGAGTAAGACACCTTCTTTCCCTTCCCTTTTTACCAAAAAGACTTAAGGTTAGAAGCCCCAGATAAAACGGAGGACTTAAAAGATGGTGTCTTTTCTGTGGCGTCTTCTGTGCCCGGGGGCCAATAGGTGGGAACACCCTCAGGGACATGGGCAGGTTGGAATGTGTCCTGAGGGGAGTCTCATGACTCTCCAACAGACTTTGATCTGTGTTCAGTGGCTTGAGATTTTTTCCCTCTGAGATGAGAATCTTGAGAATTCTCCTCCAGGGGACACAAGTAAGGTAGAAACCTCAGAGATGTTCGAGTGTCCTCAGGATTCTTATACCCTTTCAGGGGTCTGAGACACTATATAAGGTATATAGTGTCTCTCCTTCCTTCTCAGGGGGACACAGGACAGGACCCTCAACAATGGGGTCTGATATTTCCTCAGGGGTCCTAAGCCTGCCTTCAAGGGCTTATACATCCCCTATACACACATATACATCCCCTTTAGAGAGAGGGATCTTCTGAGCTTTCCTTCAGGGATATGGCTTCTCTTGGGGAGGTAAGATACTTTCCCCTTGGGGACAAGAACCAAAACCAATACCCAGAGACCAGAAACTATACTGGGGTACATGAGATTCATTCTCTAAGTAACAAGGGTCTATGCTTTCTCTCACACTACCTTGGGGACAAGAGTCTGAATCTCTCTCCAGGAGCTTAAGCTTCTTTTAAGTGATAGATCTTTGGCTCCTCTTCCCCACCCTCATAAGGCCTTGAGCCTTTCTTCAAGAAAATGAGACTCACAGTTTTGGATACTGGAGCCTAACCCCACTGACCTTTTAGACAGTGGGCCTGAATCCTCTTTAGGAAATTGATATCCTCCCACAAAGGTCCTAGGCAAGGTAAAGTATTTAGGGGACCTCTCTCCTCAGGGCCTTTTGTCAAAGTGGTTCTCCTTAGGGGTGTAAGGCCTAAGACTCCCCCTCCACACACACACACACACACACACACATATGCACACATGTGCATACACACAGATATGACCTCCTTCTACCCGATTATGAAGGACAGAAACACGTCTTAGGAGTATCATAACACTCTTTCCCTCTATAACAGGGTTCTAAGCATCTCCCACAAGTGCCTGAGATCTAGGCAGCATGGAGTCCCAGGGATGGAGTCTGAGGCCTCCTTGTAGATCTAAGCCTGCCTTCAATGGGCCAAGACCCACTGTACCAAGGACACTTGAGCTTTCCCTCAAGGACAAGAGGCCCTTATGTACTCCATTGACTTCTGTGTCTCTATAGATGAGGTCTGAGCCTCCCCCTCAAGGAATTTAAGGGAACCCTCAGAAATAGGACCCCTCACCACCAGAATTGATTCCTGAGACCCTTCCCTTAGGGGCATGGATACAGAGTTCCTGGGGAATAGGGTCCTGAGTATTCCCTCCCCACAAAGAGTTTGAACTTGCTCTCATGTGCATGAGACACTTCCCCCACCTTAGGACCCAAGTATATACTTGGGTATATGTCCAAGTCATGGAGGCCTTTTAGGGGCCTAAGGTTTCTTGCCTTGGGGATTTGAGCCTAAGACCACCCTCCACTGGTGAACTAAGTCCTGAGAACTGCTCTCTCTCCTTGGGGACATAGGTAAAGTGGAATGCTTGGAATCTTCCCAGGGGCCTAAGCTTTCCCCCAGGAACAAAATATCCTTTACCTCAGGGAGGGGCGTGAGCCTGGGAGGGGTATGAAACACCACCCAGCCAGGCAATCCTTTATCACCAGGGAGAAGGACTTGAGGTACTGCCCCTGACCAGTGTGGATAAAGGCTTCCCCCATTAGACAGAAGGACCCTGCTGCCCTTCACAGTCATGAGAAACCCTTACCCTCGGGCCAGAAAGGTTCTTTTGCTTTCTGTGAGAAGTTTGTCAGTTACTGGAGACATGGGGACTCAGGCCTCCTCTGAAGAACTAGGAGATACCCTGAGACTCACCCTGACCCAGCTCTGCTTACTTCTCATTTCCAGGATCAGGGAAATATTCTGAGCTTCCTGAATTGCTTTTAACACGCTTTTTTCTTCCCAGAGACAGGAAGTGGGTTTGGGACATTCCCACTCCAGGGAAATTCTCCACCCATATCACTGTCCCCCTTGGCTCAAATAAGTTTTTCTGTACTTCACAGGGGCCTGGGCCTTGTCTTGAGCCTCCCTCCTTGTTGCCTTTCCACCCATTACTACTCCAGGCAGGATAAAACATCTGGACCCACAGAGTCAGGACCAAGAGTTGTTTCTTCTCTCCCTGGTTGGGGTAAAGTCTGCCTTTCCTCCTTCACAGAGCTACATCCCTGGTCCCAGGGACAGAGAGGAAGAAAGTCATGTGCTGCCATGGTGACTAGAATGATACCTTATACCCCCTTTGCATTTCCTAGGTTGGGAGTTCCTCCCTTATACTTGTCCCCATGAGAACATGGAAGTAAAGCTCTGTGGTTGCGTGATATCTTCCCTTCTTAACTACAGAGGAGAGGCTTCCTCTCCTCCCACTTCTTGGGACAACAGGAGGAAGATGCTGCTTTCTATCTTACCTGGTCCAACTTGGGAACTTTTGGGGATGAAAAAAAGAGATTCTTTCTGCTGCCCCAATCTTGGTCCTGAACTGTCACCAGGACATTTGTACCCTGGAGGCCAATTAGATCCCTTGGGAAAGAGGGGAGTTGTTGAGAGGGAGCCCACATGGTGAATCCAGTCCTCCTAATTGTTCAGATTTCCTGTTTGTCCTGATATTGTGATAATACCTCGACTACAGTTAGGAACCCTTTTGGAAGCTTATAGTCAGAGGTTTCCTTTCCCAGGCATGGCTGCCTTACCGAGAGTCTGCTGTATGAAAAGAATAGCTTGAAAACACCCTCAGCTTGAGGACCCTGTAGAACATTTTGAGGACAGGGCATGCTTGCTGAGGTGGTAGGAGAAGCTGGATCTGGCATTATAGTCAGCGTGCCTGGTTTCCCACTCAGGCTTCGCTGGGGCTTTGCTGGATGAACCAGAATAGTTCTGCCTCTTCTCTGGGTCTGTTTTCTCATTGATTAGGTAAGGTGGGGTGTCATTTAGCTTTGGGATTTTCGAGAACCCTAAGCTAAAGCCCTCTGGACCTGGAGGTGACAGAATGGTGGGTGTCTTGAGAAAGAAGTGGATTTCTTCCCCTCGTTTCCCTGCTCCTGTTTTCTCCCACCCATCCGTGGTTGGCAGAACAAGCAGCTTGTTTGGTCTGAGGTTCAGGGTTAGTGGACTGTGATTTTTTTTTTTTTGGCTTCCTGTGCTGTGATGAATAAGCTGAGGGGTTGCCTGTCAGGGAGCCTGTTGAATGGTGTGGAGGTAAGGTCATGTGTGGAAAGAGTTTGGGCTTTGGAACTGGGTGGGCCTTAGTTCAAACCCCAGGGTCTCTAACAAAGACCTTCCATTTGGCTTCTAGGAACCTGCCAATTCCTCTAAAGGGAAGGCAGAATGGTATGGCATGAAGTGGTCCCTTCCTGAGTGGTCTGGGTTTGAGTCCTGTATCTTTGATCAGTTCCCTTTTCTGGGTCTCAGTTTCTCCATCCATAATGGGTAATGGTGAGAAGGGAGATTGGACTCAGTGTTCTGAAGCTAGTTGTAACCTCTTCTTTATCCCTGTTCTCCACTCCCCCAACCCATCACTGGGCCCCCTTGACTTTTGGGGGTATGCTTCAAAGTTTCAAGCAATGTTCCACTTCCTTCTCCCTGGCCAGTGCTTTAGGTTCTTTGGTGGTGGTGGTTTTTAAATTGGTACAGCTATATTGAGACATAATTCACACACCATGCAGTTCACCAACTTAAAGTATAAGATTTAGTGGCTTTTTGTATACTCACAGAATTGTGCATTCATCACCATGATCATTCAAGTTTAGAACAGTATCATCATCCCTGAGTTCCTTCATCCACTTCCAGCCCCTGACAACTGCTAATATACTTTGTCTTGGTTGATTTTTCTCTTCTGGATAGTTGATAGAAATGAGAATCATACAATTTGCAGTACTTTGTGACTTGCTTCTTTCAGCATAATGTTTTCAAGGCTTATCCATGTTGTAGCATGAATCAGTACTTCATTTCTTTTTGTTGCATAATAGAATCTTTGTTTTTTTAATTCTGCCCCCTAGTGGTTTGGCACTAGATTTTAGAGCCTTGCTCTTTTCTCATCCCTCTACCCTGGAGAGCTTGTGTTAGTCCTTAGAGAGGAGTGCATCGGTCTGTGTTTCTCATTGGATAGGTTGCCTATATTTTATGCAGGGAGCTGAGCCATACACTGGTTCCTGGGTGTTTTGGGGAAGAGAGGGGTGGTCTTGGCACCAGGCTTGCTGAGACAGAGCTGTGAAGTCAAGAATACTAAATACCTCTGCCATGGGCTCTGGGAAGACATTTGTTTATGAGTTGCCATTGCTGCTACCATCTTCTCCAGCTTCTTCCCCCTTCAGTGGCAGCTCATTTCTTGATGGGTAGGGTCAGTAGCTTCCCAGGCTGTGATGGAGTATAAACCTCTGCTGCCTTAATTCTAATCCTCTCCCAGGGCAGGTGGAGTGATGCTGGAGAGATGAATCCTGTGGAGTGATAGCCATATGACATACGATAGCCATATGGGAGCCTCACAGCTCACACCAGGAATGCTACCAGTGGGTTGTATAATTTTTCAGTGGCTGTTGTGACAAATTATCGCAAACTAGGTGGTTAAAAACAATAGGCATATCTTCTCTCACAGTTCTGGGGGCCAGCAGTCCAAAATCCAGGTGTTGGCAGGACTACATGCCTTCCAGAGGCCCAAGAGGAGAACCCAGTCCTCTTCCAGCTTCTGGGGGCTGCCAACATTCCTTGGTTTGTGCGTCCATCACTCCAACCTCCA